ATATCTAGACAGAATTACATATTTTTATTAATTCTAACCAAGTGCACATAATTTGGCCAATCTAATTTAAATTTAAAGAATATATCACTCTTATAGCTAAGTTTTAAAGAGGAGAAAGGATTTTTGCCAATTTTGTCAACTACTCTAGATTATGCAAATGTAACTTGCTACTACTGTCCCTGGACGAACAGCTGCTGAATCTCACTTCAAGCTCTGCGGTAGGAGCTAACGAGGCAACTTTACTCCAGGAATTCATTGTCCAGAGAAATGACTGTATATGTAAATGTAAAGGTCTTGGTAAAATGTGCAGAGTTCCTCTCATAGCTGAATTTGAAAGGAAACATGTTACCACTAGTGACTTCTCTGCCCCAGCAGAGTAATCTAGAACAATGCAAATGGATGCAAAGAACATTTGCACTGCAGAATATGGTGAGTTTGCCAGGTCATGAGCATCTGACAATATCCTTGGTCAAATGAGACTCAGAAATTAAACGTTTATGAAAAATGTCATGAACACAAGTATAACAGTATCTTTTGAAGTCCACCTTTATGAATTCAGTTATATCCCTAAGATAATCCTGTAAGCATGAACATCCTCTTGAAATCAACCCTCCCCTTGAGCTGCATTTCCAGCCCTTTTTGATTTTTTTGTTTTGAGATAGGGTCCTGCTAAGTTGCTAACTTTCTCGCAGTGGGTTGAAGTTTTGATCTTCTTGCCTCAGCCTCGCATAGTGTTGGCATTACAAGCGTGCACCACCACACCTGGAGGCCTTGCCCTTTTGAAGCTTTGGATCTCTATAACACTGGAGATCCAACCACAGTTTGTGAAATCTGCTCTTTACTCAACCTCTTGGCACCTGGCTTTAAGCCTCAAAAATCATAAGTTATAAACAAGGAAAAAACAGTGGCAGTGTCTATTTTTCACTTATCCCTCCATTGCCTTCAGAGGGGTGGTGGATGGCAGGTGCTACACCTCAGCTATGACCTGAAACTCTTAAACGAAATAAGCCATTCCTACTTAGAATGAAGTACTTTCATGATGAGCATGTCTGGCATTCAGAACTCTTCTTACTGCTCTGTTTGAGGTGGGATACTCGGTTGCAAGCCATAAGCACTGCCTTTAGACAGCTATGCTAGTATGCTGGAGCTATCACGACAAAATGCCATACATTGGCTGGTTTTGAACAACTCACAGCACTGGGAATAGAAGTCTTAAATGAAGATGTCCCTAGGGCCATGTTCCCTCTGCAAATTGCAGAAGGATGCTTCCTTACCTTTTCCTAGCTTCTGGTGGCAGTGTCTGGTGTTCCTTGGGGTATTGCTTCCTCACTCCTACCCTCCATCTTCACATAGTCTCTGCAAAAATTATTCTTTTCTTTTGTTAGTACACATTTGCAGTACATCATGTTTACATTCCTTGTGTGGAGTTTGTACATGTACATAATACATCTGAATTCCTTTTTCCTCCCTTTGCCTCTTCCATCTCTTGATCCCCATCCCATTTGAGAAAGATCTTTCTCCCTACTTACTGGGAGCTATCTTTTATTTTGCTTTTTACTTTATAATTTGAATTTCTCATATAGAAGAAACTATGCTATATTTAAACTTGTGTGCCTGATTTATTTCACTTATATTGAAACATCCTTTTCCCTGGGATGCAGCCTGTTTGGTCGTGATGTGTGATCTCTGTGATGATTTGTTGCATTCTGTTTCCCAGTATCTTGTTGGGGATTTTTGCATTTATATTTGTTAAAGAGAATAGACTATAGTTTTCTTGTTTGGTCAGATCTTTTTCTGGTTCGGATTCAAGGTAATTGCAGGCTTTTAGAAATGATTTTGGGAGTCCTCTTTCCCTTTCAATTTCATTAAAGAGCCTGACAAATATCGGTGATGGATTGTCCCTGAAATTTTTGTAGAATTCAAGAGTGAACCCATCGGGACTTTTCTGAGTTGGTAGGTTTTTTATTCCTACCTGAATTTCATTGCCTGTTATTGGATTATTCAGGGTTTTAAAATTTTCTTGGCTTCATTTTGGTAAATTATATGTATCTAGAAAGCTGTCCATTTCTTCTGAATTTTCCAATTTATTGGTGTACAGGTTTGTGAAGTAGTTGTTCATAATAATTTTATTTCAGCTGTATTCATTGTGATTTTGCCTTTCTCATTTCTAATTGCACTGGTTTGGGTATTTTCCCCCCCTTTTTTTGGTTACATTGGCTAATTGTCTATTTTGATTATTCTTCTGAAGAACCAAGCCACCAAGTCTTTAATTCAGTGATTGTTTGTATGGGTTTTTTTTTTTTTTATCTTAATGTCACTGATTTCTGTTCTCACCTTTGTAATGTCCTCCCTTGTTTGAGCTTTGGATTTCTTTTTATGAAGGTGTCAAATGTATTGGATTAGGGCTTCTCTTAATAACATTTTTTTTAAAAAATTGACTGCTGTTGTAGAGATTCTACTTCCTGATAAGTTCACACTCCAAGGTAGTGAGGGATAAGACTTCAACCTAATTTTTAGAACAGGGAAAACATAACTAAACCTATAACACCAATTTAAACAAAATAGAATTTATTGTAAAGACATAAGGTGACTTATTTAACTGAAGAAAGATGAAAACAATGAAGGCATGAAAAAGCAAGAACACTGGTACCTCAAGGTTCAGGGAACAGGACCAGATCCTCAGACTTGTGAGAAGGCTGCTGCTAGAATTATGGGACCTTCACCGGCTTTCCTCTGTCTGCATTGCTGACCACTACATGGAGCCCAGAAGGCAGTCTGACTGGGTCACTGCTTGGATTCAAGAGTCAGAGTCTTATTGTTTTCTTTTGCATCAGTTATATAACAACAGAAAAGGCAAAATTCCCAATGAATTTGAAATACTACTACCTAAAGATAACAGGAAAGATGTCAAGTCTTCCCCTTGGCAGGAAATGAGGAACAAAGCAAAATTAAATGGAGAGAAGAATCTTTTCTCCCACTTAAATTTATTATTAGCCCTACATTAAAATAGTTCTATGATGATTATTAATGTCATTATTTAGAAACATTAGCCGCTCTGTAATAATTTTTTTTAATTTTAAAGAGAATAAAAATTTAATAAATTTGAAAAGATATTCAAAACAAGATGATAGGAAATCAACAGTGGTTACTATTTTGCATATTGTTATCTTCAAAGTAGTTGTTCAGATTACCAGATATAGGCATGCAAAATGGATTAAAAAAATTAAGCAAAAACTGTTCCTTTCAATTAACCAATAGAAATTAGTAGTACAGTTATCTTAGCTATCTTGAGTGTATGTATATATATTTCCCTTCCTTCTTTCTTTTCCCTTCCCTTCATCCCAGTTGTTCTTTCCTTTTGAGCAGTTTCTTTCCCTTTCACACTATCTAGTCTACCTTTCAGATTTTCTTTACTCTTGCCTTCCTTATACGTTGAGAGTATGAAGGGAATTCCAGCTGATTGTAATTCTTTCCATTACTGAGTTATGTTTAGTTAAATTTGTTTTTTTTATAGTGGAAAAAAATGGTCTCCCAGGCAAGCCCCTCTCTCATTCTCTGGTCTTTTGTTCCTGTGCTCTGGTCCAGAGCAGGACACCTCAGAGACTCATTAGCCTCTGACTGAGGTTTCCGGCACCATGTGGTAGGCTGTTCCTCTGAGCCCTGGAGGGAAGAGTATTCCTCTCCCCTCCCACTCCCACTCCCGAGGCACTCAATTCTCGTGCTCCAGCTTGGGCTTCCTCTTCTCATTCTACCCTCTCTCCTCACCCTTCCTACCGTCACTCAAAGAATATAGCCATTGTTACATAACTAAAGCTTTGAATTAAGAAAAGAAAAGAAGAGGTGGGGAAAATTAACAAAGTGAACTGCATAAAATTAAGGGTGTAAGGGGGTGGCTTATTTTTAAATAATATAAAAGTCTTAAAGAAGAAACAGTCTCTGACTTGTCTTTTTGCACTTAGTTTTTTGGAGACCAGTAGCTGATAGACCTGCTGTAACACGGTGTCAAATCCCATGCCATGCCTGGGCATAGAAGGGCGCTATCCAAGGCTGGAATAACATACAGGAGCAGCCCAGGAGGGAGATCCTCAGCTATATGTGGGGCAGATTGTGTCTCTACCTGGAGGGGAAAGAAATGGTACCATAAGCAGAGCAGTGACTCACAGGGGGTGAGAAGTGAGTTCCACGAGGGAGTTCTTGCATAAGTATGGCTCCATCCAATTTAAGGAGGCCAGGAAGGACAATGCCCTTACCCTGAGAAACTGGATATCCTTACCAAACAATAGCAGAGACTCCTTCAGATTGAATGGTAGACTCCAGGTCGCTCTAAAGGGGTCTGATTCAGGACGTCTGCATTTTAAAGAGGCCTCCTCAGGTGCATCTCTGTATCTGATGCAGGATGGGGAAGGGAGGATGGCGGTGGATCTCTGGACCACGATTTAAGGAGCACAGCTGTAGAATGCCACCTCGCTTGGTACAGGCAGGCGATCAAGAGGAAGGGAACAAATCTGAGACAGGAAAAATGTGGGTCGCCTCAAATTATAATCAAACAGGCTTCAAGTGCGCTCACACTGAAGTCCAGAGGACTGGACAGAAGCTCCTAAATTTCCAGGCTTGAAGGCAGCATTGGGACGGTAGCTAAGAAAGACAAGACCCTCATGTGCGTCAAGTTCCCTGGAGTTGAAGAGGAATGGGGAGCCAAGTCCAGGAAGCTATCTGAAGTATATTTTTATATTAATTGAAGTATAATCACTTTTTTCTTTCTTCTGTTCTTCTCTCTTCCTTTTCTTTCCCTCCCTCTACTGCCTGATTTCCTTTTATTCCCTATTGTTCTTTCCTTCCTTATTTTTTTCTCTGCTTCCCCCTTTGAATCTCCTCCTCTTGTCCATATTTCCACTTCTCTGATTCCCTCTCCCTCTTTCGCCTTCTCTCCTCCTGCCCTCCCTTTCCTCTCCTGTCCACTTCTCCTTGCCCCGGCCACACCCACTCTGTTGCCTCTCCAGGTACTATGCCATCTGCTGCCAGCCTTTGGTTTACAGGAATAAGATGACCCCTCTGCGTATCGCGTTAATGCTGGGAGGCTGCTGGGTCATCCCCATGTTCATCTCTTTTCTCCCAATAATGCAAGGCTGGAATAACATTGGAATAGTTGATTTGGTGAGTATGTACACAAACCTTCTGCTTAACTGTCTGATCAACCTTGCTTGGGATTCTAAATAAACACATACTATAAAGCTGGGCTAATAGTCTAAGAAAAATTCTGATGATGGTCTGAGTGATCATTTTTAAAGAAGCTAGCATTTCTGAATGTCTACTAACAGAATGTCTCATTGACCAAACCTAGGGTCCTCTGAATTATCTTCCCAACTAGACCTTGAATTTGGAACTTTCCTGTCCATCTTTATCAGTTTATTTTAGCAAGAATCCCATTAGTTTAGCCAGACCCCCTGCCCTTAGTGTCTGCTCAACTTCTTCATCTCCATCACACATGGTGTCTGATCATTCTGACCTGTCTTCAGGCAGAATCCTGCCCAGGTGGTTTGGCCAGGATCTTCCTTACCCCTGATTTTTACTCTCAATAATTTTCTAGCTACTGACCCTTGCCTATCATACTTCTTGATTATAAATTTTCGCTTTCCTTTAATGTGTTCAGAGCTAAGTTCAACTGTTCTTCCCTACTACAAACTCCATCACAGTAGTTCCTATAATGTATTGCAATATATTGAATAAAGTCAGCCTTATTGCTTTAACAAGTGTCATGAATAATTTTTCTTAAATGTTAATGTATGCCAGAAGGTACACTAAGTATTTTATAAATAGGTCTAACAATATCCTTCAGGTAATGGAATAATCATATCCTCAGTTTACAGATGAGAAAATCCAGGTCACCACGGTTAAGTAACATGCCTAAAACCACACAGCTTGCAAATAGCATAACATGAATTCAAGGTTTAACAGTAAGATTCTAGGGCCTAAGGTATGATTTCTCTTCATTCCATTTCACATTGAGAGTCTATAAAGTCTACATGGACTCAGAACAATCGTATCAACTAGGTAGAGGCTGCCAGGGAATGAGAGGAGCACTGTGCAGAAGTAGAGAGGGCTAAGCCCTGAGTCCAGCTCTGTTACTGTCCACGTCTTGAAGGACTGTGATGAGGAGGACAGTTGGTCCCCAGTAGAAAACAGTTTCTGTCAAGGATACATGGGACACATGTGCCTGATGTGTTCCAGTTCCTGGGTATTAGTTTTCCAGGGAATCAGAACCAACAGGGTGTGTGTATGTGAGAGAGACAGACAGACAGACAGACAGGACACAGACAGTGGCAGAGACAGAGACAGAGACAACAAGGAAGTTTGTTTGGTTACAAAAGTAGATATTGAGTGGTCTCAGTATCTACTTTCAGCAAGCTGGCAATCCAAGAGAACCAACGTTTCAGTTCAGATCCAAGCACAGGGAAAGATCAGTGCCCTGACATTCAAACAGTGAGGCCGTAGGAGTTTCCTCTTTTTTGTGGGGGTTGGGACAGGGTCTCACTACATAGTTCAGGCTAGCCTTGGATTCACAAGGTAGCCCAGGCTGGCCTCGAACTCAGTGATTCTCAGGAGTTACCTCTTACTCACTTTTGTTCTATGCAGTCCCTCAGTGGATTGGAGGAGACCCTGCAGTAAGGGGGAAAATCTGCTTTACTCAGTCTGCTGATTCAAATGTTAATCTCATCCAAAACTATTCTCACCCCCAGAATAATATTTTACCAAATGTCTGGATACTCCACAGCCCACTCAAATTGACACAGAACTAACCACCTTGTCCTGTCCAGTACTGAAGAGACTTTAATAATATTTAAGAGCCCTCCAGCTCTGACATACCAAAATTATAATGTAGATCAAAATCTATTGTCTGGATTTATTAGCAGGGATATATGTTTTGTAAGGAAGTGTCAGGCAATCACTTAAAAAACAGTCCCAGGATCCCCCATAGTGCAGGAAGGGAACAGAGAGGAGAGACCTAGAGCACATGCCGTCCTAACAGGACCTGCAGGAGAGGGAGCTGTCTCTTTCCCTCTCCTTCCCCCTCTTAGCCCCTAGTTTTACCTTTTTCTTGTCTAGGAAAGTCCTCTACCCCAAGGCCTGGGCCAGATGGCGTGTGCAAATGGGCGTTCTTCTGGAAGCTGAAGAGTAAAGTTCAAAGGAGAGTTACGCAGTTATCCACAAAGTGTGTGGATATTGTCTCAAGTCTCATCGCATTTCCTTTAGACTATCAGTTTTACCATTCTTGGGACAAATGAAATCCAAATTTCCAACTAATATTATTTTCAGTAATAGTAATAACAATAATAGTAATAATAATAATGGTCAAGCGATATTGAACACTTACTATGCATCAAGCTCCAAGCTAATCACTCTTCTTGTGAACCTGTTTTGGGTCTCACAACATTATAAAGTAGACTCTATGACTGCCTTCATTTTATAGACTGGGAAACTGAGGCTCAGAGAAATTATTAACCAGATTCATTGGTAAAGTGGTTCAATTTGAACACAGATTTACTGCATCCCAGAGTCTATGCTTTTAATTTTTTTGCAAAACTTACTCCCCAGTGGACAGGAAACATATGCTTTTGTATTTGGAGAATTTTTAGTGATGGCTTGGAATTTTTACCTTCTGATGTAGAACTTCCAAGCATGTATCGGAAGTTTTTGTTTGCTCCTGAGAGTGAGATAAAGACACAGCCATTTACTTCACTTCACTGGAGAAGGGGACATTTGCTTATTATTAACATGCCTTACCTTCATCTCTCTTGCACAATGCATCTTCCTAGAGAAAAGATAGTACAACTCATATGATCGTAAAACATATATATATATATATATGATTAATTCTTTTTTATTTGTGGTGATTACGTTTTATGAAGTCATCAAAAAGACTAAATGAGCAAACACTACATATTTGCTCCCAGGTAAAATACAGGTTATATTCTTGCAACTTTCTGGTTCTATTTTCATCTACCAGTGAATACATAACCATATTCTATGGTTTCTGTTTAAAGACATTGATTTAATTTGTATTGTTAATTAATTAACTGTGAACTAATGGTCAAGGCAATATAATCCATGCCTTAATGACGCAACTCTAACACATGCATGTCGTGCTCTAAGGTACTACCACTTTCTTGCACTTAGGAATACTACATGACACATTAGCAGTATGTTTGGGCCATTTTAAACAGTGAAATCACTAACCAAAATCACAAAACATGCAAGTTATGTGGCAACAGATAGCAAAAAGGACACTTGTTGAAGAAAAACAATAAAATGGTGCATCACTTTGTTTGACTTTAGCTGAGAAACTACCTATTATACAACTAAAATGTTCACTGCACTGTGCATATGTACGTGGGTAAATGACTATGGAGGCTGCTGCAAGTATTCCTTTTTGGAGTTTCCAAATAAATTTTAGTGAGAAGGTAAATTCATGGAATTTGATTTGCATGTGGCATGTCCAAATGAAATTCATGAACAATAAAGATCTATTTTATACCCATTTGCATAGCTTTAAAACACACATACAGATATGAATAATACTCAGGGTAAGGACCTACTCCAGGGATTTCATGTGCTGAGTCAAATCACCTGTACTTTTAAAGCTAGTCCTGCTGGAAATGCTCTACTTCATCTTCAAATTTTGCAAGTAAGAAACCGCACCAACTCACCAAAGGATTATGAACATACTATGAATTAAAATCACTAAAAATTGAGCTACATGTTCACAGAACTTTCAGATTATTTCCCAGACATGTTCCTAAACCTGAACTCTGCTTAATAATATCAGTTTTCTTTTTCATTATGACTACCATTTATTAAATATTTTAGACAGTATACAAAATTTTTCACATTTTAAGTTCATCTAATTAATGCAATATTACCATGTTTAATGTTAATTCTGTAAAGGAAATCATAGAACTTCAGAGGCTAAGTTCATAATAATTGCCCTATTTGTTCATGTACTCATTCAGGAAGTATTAATTGAAATGACCACCATGTTCTAAAGGCTCCTGAGAAATCCATGATGAAAACATTGAAAGTGTCATGGTACTTAAACACTGGCAAGAAAAAATTTTAATATATATTGGGTATTACATTTTATTTAGGACAAAAACCAAGAACAAGTAAGGAGATGAGGAGTGGAGAAAAGATGTGATTATTTTACATGTGAAACTCACTCTTTGATGTTCCCAAAACATTGCCCTGCAGGTAGCGAGCAAACAAGCCATGTAAGTATTTAGAGAAAAGTATTCTAAGCCAAAATTGTAATAAATGCAAAGACCATTAGATGGGCTTGGCTAGTTCAGGGAAATGCCCCCAAAGCTTCAGAAAGCAGTGATCAAGGAGCACAGAGATCACAGAGACAGCCCAGGGCTGCATTACGGCATTTACGCTGAGTGATGGAGGAAGCTTTGCAAGGTTGTGGACAGATGGGTGACATCATCTGACCTGTGTTTTCAAAGAATCATTCTGACTTTTTCGTAGAGAATGGCTGTGGAGTGACAGGAAATACGGGACACACTTAGAAAGGGATTACAATAATCCCAGCATGTGATGATGGTAACTTGGACTAAGATAACAGTCACTTAAGGTGGTGAGAAGTTTTAGATTTCAGACATTTTTGTGGTCTATAATATTTTATTGATCATCTACTGTTTGACATAAGCCACTATTATCAAAAGTGGTGGGTGGACTAGCAGGTTACAATACTAATACAGTGTTAGAATAGACTTGCTGCAAAGGTGACATTTTTTTAAATTGTATTTCTAAAAGATCTAAAAGAGCCAAAACATATTAACAAACACACAGACATAAATGAAACAACATAAAAACAATGAAAAACAATACAGAATTTCAGACAAGGAGAAAAGAAATTAACAATGGCTGTTGTATTACATACTGTTATCTTCACATTGGTTAACTTTTATTAAAAACTTTAAGGAGGTGAAGGAACTGGACTTGTGGGGGTCTTGGAGAATATGCTAAGCAGAAGGAAAAGCTAGTGCAAATGCCTTGAGGCAAGATGCATCTGACATATCAAGGAGGGTAGTGTGGCTGATACAGAATGAGAAGGAAAAGCAAAATAGAAGGTTCAAATAGCTAACTTAGAAAGATAA